TAGCCTGCCTTGGACTTCTTGCTTAGCAGGGAGTCTGCTGGAGACTCTCTCTCTCTCATTCTCTCTCTCCCCCCCACTTCCCCCTCCCTGTGCACTCTGGCATGCTGTGCGCTCTCTCTCTCCCCCTCTAAAATAAATAAATCTTTAATAAAAATAGAAATATCTACTGTATATCTACTAAATTTTATGGCCTCTACTCCCCTGACACACAAGAAAATGAAATTTGCGTCCTTTCAAAAGTTGCAGAGAGCCAAAGAACAGTCAGGCATCCAGCTGAAAATGGCACACCAGCCGAGAAAAAGAGATGATATGACATACATAAGCCATTAATTAGGAAGGAGAAATGAGAGCAATTCATTCCGTAGCTAGCATTTAATCAACATGGTTACAGAGGTAAATTTTGATCTTGATTTGGTATAAATAACAGCCAGTGGGAAAAATGAAAAGCAGTGATGTGAGTTCCCACTTTGGAAGTTTCTTTAGCCCAGTTTTACAATAGCTATCTACTCCTGGATACTGCTTAGGATACCATTCGTTTGCATCAAAGTCTTAAGTAGGTGTCTTGGAGTGACTATCTAATGTACATTTTAAATAAAAGGACATTGTTTCTGACAAAATATACATATATTGAAAAATTCTCAAGAGGGAGGGCAGGAGATGCTTAAAATGCTGGCCAAATTGGGAAAAGATATTTCCACATTCATAGATGAGCTGTCAGAAAAGTAAAGAAGTATTTGGGGGCTGAAGGCAATAAGAGAGCCCAGTACCAAGAAGGTAAGAAGTAATGGTGTTTGCTCTGGGGAGTATGCCAATCTCCATCAACCTAGCACCTGTGTCCACCTAAGCAGAGAACAGACTTGGGGCTAGAGGAAGAAAACACTGAGGGGATACAGCATACTGCTATACTCCAGAAGGGTAACACCCTCAGTCAATGAACTAATTAAAACCCTGCCAAAAAAAGAAGAAAAAAGGGCGCCTGTGTGGCTCAGTTGGTTAAGCGACTGCCTTCGGCTCAGGTCATGATCCTGGAGTCCCGGGATTGAGTCCCGCGTTGGGCTCCCTGCTCGGCAGGGAGTCTGCTTCTCCCTCTGACCCTCCCCCCTCTCATGTGCTCTCTCTCATTCTCTCTCTTTCAAATAAATAAATAAAATCTTTAAAAAAAGAAGAAGAAAATGGTAGAAATACTTGCCTATCTTCCTAGAGACTTTGTAAGCAGTCCTGTGCATTTGGGTCCATTAATTCTTATTAACCATTTGGCAAGGAAAAAAAAAAGGAAAATTTAAATACTTTTTGAAAATTAAAAGTAAAAAAGAGTCTCTTTAATTTTGAGTGCCAGAGTTCCTACATATAAAGCAAAGGATACAAGTTTATCATCAAATATTACCACCCAAAAAACCAAAACAATATACTACTATGATTGTGAATCAGTTGAAACAAGTAAACAAAACCAAGAAACTCCACCAAAGACTTCAGACCCAAAGAAATAGCATGTAATGAAATAAATTATTTATTATAATTAAAGAAATAAAGCAAGGTATTGGAAAAATGAAGAACAAGAGACCATAAAAATTACAAGGCATAGATCACTACATGATATTCTTGCCAAAATGTTTAATTTAGTCATGAAGAAACAGACAAAGCCAGACTGTTCAACATTCTACAATATTTTACAAGCCAACTGTCCTTGTTGCTTCAAAAATAACAATGTCATGAAAGGAAAAATAATGAAGGGAAAGTTCTAGATTGGGGTTTCTCAACCTCAGCACTGTTGACATTTCAGACTGCAGAATTGTTTTAGGTGACCGTCCTGTACATTGTAGAATGATCAGCACCATCTCTAGTCTCTACCCATGAGAGGCCAATAGCTCTTTCCCCACTTCCCACACATTTTAAACTAACATGTCTGAATAATGCCACACATCTGAGGACAAAATTGCTCCAGTGAAAAATACTATTCTAGATTAAAGACACAAGAGAGAAATGACAACCAAATGCAATATATGATCCTTCACTGGATCTTGGATTAAATAAAACAGTTTATAATTTGTATACAACTGGAAAATCCTGAATATTGATTGTAAAGAAAATACTGTATTAAAGTTTATTTATTCAGTTTCCTGGGATATACATGGTAAATTATTGAGAGGTAAAATAATATACTTTGTTTCAAATTGCAAAAAAACATACACACATGAGTTCATGTGTGCATGTGTGTCTAATTTTATTATACTGATGTTTTAACTTTATTATAGATTGGAAAAAGATTTATAAAGCTGAGAAACATGTATCCTATCCATTCTTCAAGGCCAATTTTAACCAACTCCTTCATCATGTTTCCCTCCCTATTCACAACCTACTCCTTTGACAAAACAGTAACAGACTTGAACAACTAATGGAAACTATGGTAGGCAAATCATTTTTTTAAGTGAAATCATTTTAATTGGTATTAGAAATCACTTATACACAGCAGTATGTTGGAAAAAATACACTGTAAGGAAACTGGAAGATAGATGGAAGATAGATCTAAATAATTTGGAATATAATACACAAAAACAACTAGAAAATGTGAAAAAGACATTAAAAGACCAAAGAATATGGTGAGATCTCCAATATACCAAACGAGATTGCCAGAATTAGTAGAAAAGGTACAGCTAAGAATTTTTCAGGATTCATGAATAATGTAAGTGCTCAAAAATCTAAATCTAAATCTAAATGAATTACAACTGACCCACACTAGCATAATATCTAAAAAGGTATTTCAATAATATTCTGACTCCAAATTACAATGTGGGGGTTTTTCCACACCACCAATCAATTCTCTGACACCTGCTGGGTGTCCCACAATTTAACTCAATTCTGACACTATTTATTCACCTGGAGATAGTATCAGATCTCACAGGTTAAGAACTCAGTCCTACAAGACTACCGCTTCTCTGTCCCTGCCCCTTTTCAGAAGCAAATGACCTGGGCTTCTGACCTTCAGGCTAAAGATCGGAGGTTCCAACCACTCCCTTCTTGGGTTCAATTAATTTGCTAGATCACCTCTTGGAACTCAGAGAAACATTTCACTTACTAGATTACCAGTTTATTATAAAAGGATATAACTCAGAAAACCCAGATGGAAGAGAGGCACAGGCCAAAGAAGAGGAAAAGGACACAGTGTTTCCATGCCCTTCCCAGGAGCACGCTTTTCCCCAACTGACTCCACATGTTCACCAATCCCAAAGTTCTTCAAACCCGGTCCTTTGGGTTTTTAAATGGAGGCTTCAATATATAAGCATGAATGACTGCAACACTGGCCACTGGCAAGCAACTCAACCTCCAGCCCCTCTACCCTTCCAGTGGGGAATAGGTGTGTGTGCCGGTGGGACCACAAGTTCCCACTCTCCAATTTCCTGGTTGGTTACCCTGGCAACCAAGCCCCAACCTTAGAAGCTTTTTAAAAGTCATTTCATTAACACAAACTCACATGTGGTTTAAAGGGGTTTGTTATGAATATCAAGACACCTTTTCTGCTCTTATCACTTAGAGATTCCGAGGGTTTTAAGAGCTCTGTGCCAGAAACAGGGACAAAAACCAAGTATGTATTTATTATAAATCACATTATCACATTTGTGAAAATAAGGAAAATCATCCCAGAAAATCATGCAAGGAGGAGTGAAAGCAATGAAAATGGTAAATTCATGTAAAGCTAAATAAATTTGTCTATTAAGATAGTATTATTTGTGGAATAAAAACAATACATAATAAAACATTGGACAGCATTATGTAAATTGGGTGGGGATTTATAAGCATTAAAACTTTCCCATTTTGCATTGATGAAGGATGTTACTGATTTAAGTTTTTCATTTAACTACTCATGTTAAAATTTTTTAGAAGTAGCACTAAAACAGACATTGACACTTCTCTATTGGCAACTATAAAACAATTTAGAAAAGGATTGAATTTCACACACTTAACTGACCCAATTAATGGCAAAACCCAAAAACCCTTAATACCAAACAAATTTAGAGAAGTAGAAAAAAATTAAAAACAAAACAGTGATAGAAAATCATTTAACAGTTATACATTATCAGCAATTATAATATATTAAACAGTCTAGTAGAAAAAATAAAGTTTGCCAGGATGGGTAAAACACCAACCCCTCCCTTCAAATACTGAATGAAAAAAACCAGTCTAGAATATAAGGACATCGAAAAATAAGAAGCAAGATGAATGGAAATATATATATATATCAAGCGAATACTAACTTAACAAGAGCTAACAGCGCTATATTACTCTCAGGTCAAAACATACTTTGAGGCAAAAAGCATTGTTAGTGATAAAGACAGTCATTAGGCATGGTTAAAATTCTTAACTGATGATATAATTTTTAAACTGGTGTGAACCTACAATGCATATTCAAAATACACTAAGCAAAAAAAAGTAAACAAAACTGATAGGCAAACACTGTTAAATCCAACAAGGTAAAGGGAGATAGTAATACACCTCTCAGTGATAGATCAAACAGATCCAAAAGTTAGGAACACCACTATGCAGGTTAATCAAACGCAATATAATACCACTTATGAAAACAACAGACTTTAAAATTTAGAGTGAAAAAGGAGACATCATTGCAGCAAAGATATTAAATATAATGAAAACATTTAGGTCAATAAATTTGAAAGTGAAGTGAAATAGACACTTTCTTGAAAAATTGGAAATGACTAAATCTGACCTCCAGGAGTAATAGAAAAATTTGACTGCTATGAGGACAGAATAAGGAGTTAAGAACTTTCCCATGTCAGGACATAAGTGCTCTCAAGAGAAATCTCTTAGCAGGAGAAAGAAGACAACAAAGAAAGGAAAAGAGGTAAACTGTGAATATGATCTCAGGTAAAGTCTAACCATCCAGAGACAAAACTTGGAAGCATAATCAAACAGAGGCATCTTGAAGCAAGGAAGCCCGCTTTTTGTCCCCTAGAACTTATCATCTACCCCTGCATAGAGGGCCTAATTACCTAGCCATCTCCAGGTGAGGTGATCTCGCTAGGGTCAGCTGAGGGCACATCTTTAGAGGTCACAGGTGTAAACCATTGGATCCAACACTGGAGCAGAAGGTGGTGAACCAGCTCCTAAAGGGATATAAACAAAACAGTAAAAAACTTGTTGAGAGAAGTTTTTCACTACTTGAAGTCTTTCCAAAATGCCCAGATGAAGATCCATAGCAGTATATCATCTGTGTTCTAGAAAAGATCCCTGATTTTTAGTGGTGTCAGGACATTTGAGGTAAATGTATCTCTAGAGGGCATCAAAACAAATCCAATTCTGACATTTCTATCAATTACAGAGAGATATACATCAGCAAATCATCTTCCTGGGCACTTCTTCACATTCAGGCAGAAGTGCCTTAAATGAACTAAGAGGACTTTGAGTGTCAGCCTCACAGATTTCATCCCCCCTCTAACCTGAACTTCACTGTTAGGTGTGTAACCAAATGGCAGCTGGGACTCCTTTATCTCAAGTCCAGGTGAGACCATGAAAATCAAGAACAAAAAGATCTGTGCCATTTCCCCTATATTCCAAAGACCTCTGCCAGACTTGTAAAAGTGATGCCTCAAAAGTGCTGGGGGGGGGCCCTTCATCTAACACCCACAGACAAATAATGAAAGACTGAAGTCAAAGAACAATGGGAAGAGAAGTTTTTTGTTTGTTTGTTTGTTTGTTTCTGCAGAAAAAAATCTGAGAAAGTTGTAGAAGTTTTCCAACCCCCTCTTTTAAACTGTTAGTCAAGTCCTCCCCTTGGGAGATGGGTAGAGGCTGCATCCTCCTCAATTCAGGACCACAGAGAAGGCTTCACGGGGATTACTGAGAATGCGTGCTTTTTTTTTTTTTTAAGATTTTATTTATGTATTTATTTGAGAGAGAGAATGAGAGAGAGAGAGAGCAGGAGAGGGGGGAGGGTCAGAGGGAGAAGCAGACTCCCTGCCGAGCAGGGAGCCCGATGCGGGACTCGATCCCGGGACTCCAGGATCATGACCTGAGCCGAAGGCAGTTGCTTAACCAACTGAGCCACCCAGGCGCCCCGAGAATGCGTGCTTTATGATCACTAGAACAGGGGCCATGGTGGGCTAGTATCTGATTCATATTTTGGAAATCTAAATGTGGGGTGCAGTGTGGCTCTGAGTCACAAGAGCATAGAAAAAAAAATGAGAGGAATTGGGAGCAGACTATCCCGGCACTGCCTGCAGAGAAAATTTATGTGGTTCCAGAAGCTTAAATGTGAACCACAGGCAGAAACCTAAAGCTATCTGAAATGAAACTCAGCTCAAGATAGCCATGAACCGTGAAGGGCCAGTGGCCTCAACCAAAACAAGTCCATGTAGGCAACACACAAGAACTGAGTAGTGGTGTCCTAACAGAAAAGGTCATCCCTTTTCCCTCCACCTTGAAACGTGCAGTTAGAAGTTGTCAAAAAGCGTTATTTATGTATTTATATATTTTTTTACATCTACAAAAGTAGCCCAGGAGGTCAAAAGCCAGCTTTAAATATTTCCCTAGCTGGGTACACAATCGTGTCTTCTTGTAAGGCCATTTGCCCTAAATCACTCTCCCCACCAGGGTAAAATACTAAAGTAATCCCAAAGTAGGAGCTGGAGCTAGGAAAGAGAATACCCTGTTCATACCTTCCTCCCTATAGGTGTCCTCTGGAAATAGTCATTGCAGATGTAATTAGTTAAAAACGAGGACATACTGGATTAAGTTGAGTCCTAGTCCAGTATGACAGGTTCTCTTATAAAAATGGGGGCTTGGGATACAGGCATACATATAAGGAGAACACCACATGAAAATTAAGATGGTCATCTACAAACCAAGGATGAAGACCTGGGTCAGATGTTCCCCCACAGCCCTCGGAAGGAACCAACCCTGCCCACACCTTAATTTCAGACTTCTACCTCCTGAACTGTGAGATAATAAATTTCTGTTGGGAAGCCATCCAGTTTGCAGTGCTTTTCTCTGGCAGCCCTAGTAAATTAACACAATTATTCACCGATTGAGACCGTTCCTTCTGTTTTAATTATTAATTAATATATTTTAGTCATTTTTGTTTTAATATTGGAAACTTTCCCTCCACAATTTTCATCATTTTGCTCAACTTTAAAAGACCTATGTATTACTTAACCTTTATGAGTTTCTGGTTTTCATCTGAAAATAAATTCAAATTGTTTCACTCCCATGTTTTCAAATCCTATAATGGCTTCCCTTAGCAACAACAGCGATATTAAGAATTCAAGCTCCTTAGTGTGGTCCCCACATCCATATGATCTGGAGATTGCTTATGTCTCTAAACCCAAACCCTTCCTTTTGTCCTCTTCCTTGCGCTCTTTAGCCACACTGCCCAAATAATCTAGTCATTCTCTTCACAGGACCTTGGCACATAACTTTCATCTTTCCGTACCAACCACCGTAGCTAATGAAATTCTAACTCCCGCCATTGATAGTTCTACCCCATTATCTTGTTTTATCTTTTTTTTCACATTTATTTACTCCTGATATAATCTTACTTATTGATGTGCTTATTGTCTCTTCTCTCTCCCCTAGAATTTAATCTTCTTGAGGAGAGGGACTCTGTCATTATTGTTTATCCCTGCATCCCAGTGGTGAGAGACAGAAAAAGTGCTCCACCAATATTTTTTGACTGATTGACTCTAAAATGAGCAGGATGGCTTAATTTCTGCCCACTTATAGGACTTATCATCTATATTTTTCACATTTTGCTTATTAACATAAGTATAGTGGCTAGACGGTCTTTCAAAGCAACGTTATCATTCCTTTCCTCCCCCACTCCCCTCCACTACTCTGATTAACAGGCCAGGCTGGGCTAGATGAAAGTTTGCAACAATGGAGTCTTCATAATGTGTGTTATTCAATTTCTAGCATGCAAGTTCCTATGAGATTAAAATGATAAAATTTATTTATTTTAGAATTGAATTCTAAACCTTTCATGATTTTCTTGCATCATCTCCAAGAAAGCCTAGAAATGTTTGATTGGTTCACGCACATTTTTTCTAACCTTGGATATTCGAAATTTGCTCACGATAGTGTTACTATTGCCTCCAAACTGTTTTTCCGCTACTGCAGGTACTAGTGTCTTAGTAATGCTTTTTTTCTTCTATTCACATGCTCAGTACCACCCTCTCTTTGTGTTTGTCTTTCCTCCTTCAATGATTTTAACTTCCAACACTGGAAGAATTTTTTTTCCCTGATCATCCCGCTCCCAGCCTCTATGGTGAATAGAAAGTTATAACCTACGTTATTGTTATATGTTATTTAAACATATGTCTCTGTTCATCAGTATTATGGGAGGATGTGAAAGCAGAGGGGCAAGAGTCTGGGAAATAATTTTATTTTATTACTAACAGTATCTTTCATGCTTATAAATAGAACAAAAGATGAAAATGAGTGGTGCCATAATGGTAGTAGATCAAACTTCAAAAATTTAGGTGAAGAGTCAAATTAATACTTATAGCTTGAAAAAAAATTAAATTTCCTTCCTCCTCTCACTCTTGTGTCCTCATGGAACCCAGATAAACTCACTTGCAAATTATTAATCAGAATGGTGGGGTACAAATTTCTGGAGCTCATGGTACACAAAACCATTTATTGAGCCCTTGCTGTATTCATAGCACAGAATCCAGGGCTCTGAATTTGTGTTCAAATTTAATAATAGCATGTTTAGTCTGTAATGTTCTCTGTGTTAAATGCTTTACAAGTCACAGCTACTTAGACCACAATCCTAAAATAGTTGTGAAGACAAAGGTAGTGCTGGTAAGATGTTCAAGATATGATATGCATTAATGTAAAATATTGTACAGAAGTAAAATCAAAAGAAATAAAATAGTCAGCAGACTTTAGTTAAATAGAAAGAGTTGGAAAAGTCATCTTTTGCTAATATTTTAAGGCTTTTAAAAATTTTATAATGTATTCCTCCACCTATTCCAAAAGATTCGTAATCACTAACCGTGAAGAAATGTTGTTGCAGTTAAATTTGGCAACATTTATTCACCAACAAAGACAAATAATTAGAATGCAAACGTGTGTTGTGTTAATGAAGGTATGTGCAAAATACATGATGATACAGGAAAAGGAGCACAGATTTCTTCAATTATAAGCCACCATAAACAAATGTTAGTTCTGCAAAGATTAAACCCAGCGCTACAGGAAAGAGAGCTTGTGCAAAGGATTCCACCCCATACTTGCGTGATCTCAAGGCTCTCAGAAAAGTCTTCTCTACCCTTCCTGGCACTGTGCTGACCTAATGCCTTTTCAAGTGTAGGTGTTAATACAGATAGACATTCCCTACTATCTGCTGGGGAAAAATAACTGGGCATCTCAGATCATCCCACTCGCAACAGGGATTCTCAGATTTGATCCATTATCATTCCAAAGCCAGGGTCTGGACCGGAAGTTCCCAAACACCACACTCTTGGGCTGTGGGTCCGAATTCAATGGCATGCCTAACTTCTCCCTGTTGCAATCTGTTTTTCCGAAGTAAGGTTATAACAAATAGCCAAGGGGCTCTAGTTAAGCACATGGTGGCTTGGAAAATGTATCTGTGTCTGTACTGGTTTTCATGAATATTTGAACAGAAAGCAGGAAACAGTAAAGGAATCCATCCTAAGATCAGGCTTAATATCCAACTTTACGTTGCCATTCTCAAGGTGGCATTTTGGCATGAAACTCAATTTTCTCTTAGAATAATTTGCATTGGGATTATGGGCTAAATGTTCTAAAAGTGTCTAAGCTATAATTCTTTATGAGACTGCACTTTGGCATTTAACTGCAGCATATGCAAGCCTAACTTGCCGGCTTAGTCTTTACATTTGTCCAAATTCTCCACACAATGCCAGCCAACTTTTAATGAAAAGCATTGCTTCATGACATGATTTACTTGCTCTGTGCATTTTTTTTCTAGAGGGATTTTTGCTTTATATTAAATATAAACTGAACTTTTACTAAGACTTCTACTATTGATTAAAATCCTCTTTTTAAGCCTCCCATCTTCCAAACACCCAACCCTATGCAAAGATGAAACAGTAATAAACCTAACCTGTTGTGTTTCCAGGCTACCACA